CTGCCAATGGTGGTGTTGTTGGTTCCAACGAAAGTGAAATGCCATTGACATCTGGTGTTAAATCTTGATGTTACACAATATAGGTTCTTTAAAATCCTTTTGTATGATGTAACGTTGTTTTGTTTCCACCTTTTGGGTTGTGTCATGTAATTTGATATGCCATGATCTCTTGTTTTCTATTCATAAAGCTATTGTCTAGTCCTAGTTTAGAGCTTATAGTGTTGACTGTTGAGCACATATAAAAGGACATATTATTTTTAAGATTAGTAGATATTAATTTACTTTGTATATTGTTTGTTTTAATACTAGTCTGATTCTATTTTGATCACATCCTCAAGTTAGACATTCACAACTAGCTAGTGTACTTATTCTTATTGAATCCAGACTAACTAAAATGTAAATTAGGCGCTTCGGGGTTATCTTTCTACCATAAGAAGGCGAAATGTCAAAATATTGGACTTAAATAGCAGTAAAAATTAATTTAGAGGACTAATGTGTAACTGCACATCCTTTCTCCGTCCAAGATATATTCTTGAATGCCTGGCAACGGGCAACCAAGTCATACCGACTCCCGATGTTTCCCAAAATTTTCGAATTGAATTTCAAATAGACGCTGGCCAAGCGGGAACAGAGAAACCATTCCCCTCCTCTCTCTCTCTCTCCTCCGCCAAAACTTCTTCACAGCATCCCTTCAATCGGCGGGAGGTAGCTCACCGGAGCAGAAATGGCGGATGGTCTCAAGAAATCTCATCGGAAGCATCCGGTGAGTCTCAACGACAGTCACTACCGTCTCCTCCAAGACCTTTCCGCTCCTCCGAAGCAAATCTCTTCCTCCTCGGCTATACCAGTTCCAGGTATCCGTTTTCTCTCAACTTCTTGTTGCAATCGCATGTTCTCGCTATTGTTCCTTCTCATATTCATCTCGAGTTTAATTACGTTTTATGTGGAAGTTTATGCAGACGAACTGCAAGCGACGAAGAAAATGGAAGGACGACGTCGTCTCGTCAAACCGCAAACGGAGGATAGCGGACGTATCCCGCTGTTCTCCGGCGTTACCGATTTCGATTCTTCTCCAGTTTCCGGTACTTACTGCTACTCTATTTCTTTTTATGTATGGCATAAAATGGAAATACTAAACAATAGTCAATAAGTTCATAGGAAAATGTTCATTCTTCATCATCCAAGTAGGTCCGTCCAACCACCACTTCATTTTCATCATCCTCAAAAGCAATCTCCTCACCATCCTCCTCCTCTTCCTCCTCTTCAGACTCTAATTCTTCATCATGGAGCTCTCTCACTCGTGCACTCCTGCGAAGCTCACTCTGTTCACCCGCCATTGCATCTGTAACAGTACTCGAGGGTGCACAATATGATTCCTCATCCTTATCTACGAATACATATATAGCATGGTCATCCCCTTCCCATGTTTCTAATTTTCTAGGGCAAGAGGCAATTTTTGATTTTCTAGGACAAAACGAAGAGTATTGGGTTTAACCGCCTAAGCTCGCCCAGGCACGTTCTCTCCACTAGGCGCAAACTAAGCGCTATTCCTACCTACTAAGCGCTACCAGCGCCTTTTACAACGCCTATGGCCAAGTCAAGGCGATCCTCCACCGCCTAGCGCCTAATTGAGCCTAGGCGTGCGCCTAGGCGCGCCTTCTTGAACCCTGGTATTATCCGACCTTGCCCACGCTTGATAGTACCTATTCTCGCCCAGCCCGGCCTTTGGCATCAGTAATAGCTAGCCTCTCTCATGTTCGGCTGTTCGCAACATCTAATGCACAACTTATTCCATGGCCGGCCGGCTCTCATATTTTATGTCTGCCGACTATATATATGTATATGTTGTGTTGTAGGGTTTTAATCTGAAACTCGTCACACTCGCCTAATTTCATACATTAAAGAAAAAATAGAAACCCAAAATGTCTAAGAACCGCTTGGCAGTGGTCCGACTACTGATCGTGGCGATTACAAGCGTCTCCGTTACTTCTACAGCCTACGTTGCCGCTGCTCGCAGCTACGATCCGATGTGCACTGGTCCACCGGACGGAAGGAGCCTCACTGGCGGCCTCTATTACTACGGTTGCAACACCCAAGCCTTGCCATGGAACTCATCGGAAGCTCAGGACCACGTGCTGAGCTCCATACAGAACAAGTTGTACAACATGTTCTCGACCAATCACTCCGGCTTGTGCGACCGGCGGGGCACTAGTTTCGAGGATCGTCGTGGTCGTCGTACTAGCAGCATTACGCTGTATAGCTACGCGTCGTGCAGGAGGGGCGATGACCGCGAGGGATGCTACGAGTGCTTGAAGGGCGCGGGGCAGATCGTACGAGACAACTGTTACGGCACGTCGGGAGTTCAGGCCTTGTCGGACAACTGTTGTGTCCGCTATGAGATGTACAGCTTCTGTTGAATTATAGGGAAAACATGTCTCAGAATATGCCGCTGGATTGAGGGTGGTCTTTTTCTTTCTGTCGGCCGGCCGATTCATTATTGCAGGTTTTGGCATTGTTCTAATACGTACGTATTGTCTTTCTATGGAACTGGGTTGGCAGATTAATGAATTACTAATGTTTCCTTAAATAGTATTTTTTCAGATTGATTAGTTGTGTTAATTACAATCTAGCTCTAGAAAACTTTGGCAAAATCCGGCGGCGGAAAAGCATGCTGAACCCACTTTTCTAGAATTCACAAAAAAAACATTACCATAAAATAAAAAATTGTGTCTAATTGTAAAGTTCGCGAAAAAATTATATATGTGATTAGTTATAATTAAGCGTCGGCAAAGATAGGTTGTACAACAGGACTGCTCACTTAGTGGCTTCTAAAGCCCTTTCATCGACAGCTCGATATTGTGTCGACTGTCGCATATGGTTTTCTAGCGTCCTGTAATATCTATTTCATTCCCGATCTATGGCTAAAAAAAAAGTGTCGGCAAAGATTGATATAATCTAACGGTGAAATTCTTAGTGGGGTTTATTTCGAAAAGTGGCAAACCCCGTATTCGACTCGCCAAGGCCTCCTATAATGTTTCCCGGAGACATTTAATGAGAAGTTTTGCGGAGGGCTCAAACAAGTGAACCTCAAGATTTTGTCTCACTCCGTCATCACTTAAGCGGTATGTGTGGGGATGTTCACTCGTAATAACCAAAAAAAACTTGGTATAGCGCCCGGTGTTGATATTTAAGTATTAGTCGATCAATGGCTTTTTTTCTTGACTAATGTCGAGTTTTAGGAAACAAACCTGAGGATTAAAACTTAAAATCATTCACGATGACTTTCTAGTGGGAAAAAATCAAGTTCAAATTGTAGCAAATGAGATGTGGCAGTTATGCATTTTAGGTGTACCTAATTAAGGTGCTATACACCTGATCTTTTTTCTAATTAATCAATTGTATGTGATAAAACCAAGAATTGTTAAATCTCATCGCCAGTTGAACTGTAAAACATCTACCGCCATCCAAACTAGATGGTATACAAGTATTATGAACGCTAGGTAATACATGGCCGCTTTTGGTTGTATTCACAAGTATAATGCTAGTTGAACATATTATATTATTTTAATAATGATATTACTGATATGTTGTTGGTTGAATCACGATTATACCACTAAAAGACAATAGTGCTAATTTATCTGGTTCGATTTTGGTACAATTTTATAAAACAAGCATACAACCATAATGCACTTCTTGGAATGGTTGTTTATAGGCATAATGTGACAAAAAAATAATAGGTATTAGAATCCTTTGGGATGATCATGCCTCTTCTTTTACTTGACAATTTACTATAGTTGGGCCCGCCCGTTGACCGGATGAATTAGATTAAATGTATAAATACTAACAGTATTTTTGTGAATAATTTATTTGGTACATGAAATAATCTAAATTGTTCAATAACTAAACATATAAAAAAATCTAATCTAAATCTAATCTAAACCATTATTATATGGAGGTTCTCCTCCATTAGCCCATTAATCTCTGTTTCCCTAGCTCCTGCGCAGAGAACGGAGGGCCAATTAAGTGATAACAATAATTTAATTCACATGGGCAGTAAGTAGGGATGTCAATCCAACCCGTAATCATGGGTACCCTACCCGATCGTACCCGGTCAACGAGGATAATTACTCGCTTTGACGGGTTAAGGGGCGGGTACGGGTAATACCCGGTTTCAAAATAAAGGGTAGGATACGGGTATGGTTATCGATAATACCCGCCCCGTTATACCCGCCCCGCTAACCAAAGGGTCAATTTCCCTTGAGAAATTGAGTTTAGCTACCATTGTTGATGATGAAGATATAGACGATTATTATGTTTGTGTGGATTGTAGAAGCAAGAACAATTATTATGTGTTTGCTGTTTTATTTGTGTGGATTGTTGAAGCTAGAACAGTTACAAATATTGAGAATTTTTAATGGACAACAGTATGTATGTGCATATATGTGTATAAGTTCATAGTTTAGGATTCGTACCCATGGTTACCCGAATACCCGTGGTTACTCGGTGGGTAGGGTATGGTTATATAATTCTCATACCCGGTGATTATTTGATCGGGTATTTTAGAAAGCTCTACCCGACGGGTTAGAAATTGGTATAGGGTATCGCACCCGACCCTACCCATTGCCATTCCTAAACGCAATACACACTTATGGAGATCCATGAGATGAGAATGAGATGGTCTACTTGTTCTATACCAATTGCAACACAAACATTGTGGGCTGGACCTTGAAACCAGGCCGATTTTGAAGGTTAATTCGATCCAATATAGCTGCTGACTTTTTCAAGTTCTATTCCATCAAAGCCCATCATCAGATCTCCGTTCCCGGTAGCCCACCTCACATGATTCTCAACGACCCTCACAGGACGCAATTTGAATTTCAAATCGGATCCATCTATATTATTAATAATATAATAATAAAAATAAGATTGGATATTTATTAAATTTGCGATAGAGCGAAGAGCGCCTTTTTCCTCAAACGGTCCTTTATTCGGCTTTATTCAAAAAAAAAAAAAAAAAAAACTTAAACAAGCGAAACCCCTCCTTCCGAAGATTCAAACGCCAGCCAAAAAATATACCCATCTCCTTCCCTCCAAAGCGAGAATCGAAATTTCCCCCAGGCTAGAAAATTTTCCCCGGAAAATTCCTGCGTCGCCGTCGACATTCCACGCCTTCACCGCTGATTCAAACCCCCCGCCGCAGCTTCTCCGCCAACGATTGTTCTGTTCTCCAGGTACCTGAGAGGATCTGCTTCCTCCCTTTTGGTTGTTGCTGTTATTTACCTCGTAACGGAAGGGAAATGTGGCGAGATATTATCCACTTGGCCGATGTCAGGTTTCCCCTCCAATGTTCTTTTTGTTGTTGCTTTTTCTGGGTGTTGCATGGATTAGGCTAAAGGGTGTGGAGCTAAATTTAGAAACAAATTGTCGCTTGGTTAATTGGCGGGTTCTTCATTTCTACTTTGTATGGGTTCGGATTTGGTAGGGATTTCATGAACTTGCCGTGTTTGGTTTAGGAATTTGATCCCATTTTTGGAGCTGCCCAGGTTGAATTTGATGATATTTCGGGTTAGGGTAAGGACAGGAACAAGAGAGGGTGAATTAGGGCTGATTTTTCCTTTATCGATCATGAAAACTTGTTCTTAGGGTGGTACGGCTTGGCTATAGTTTGCTGTGGCGGGATTCATCAAGGGTTATGAGCTCTGGTGCTCTCTTGGGGAGCAATTGCTATGGTAGAATTGCCCAAGCCAAGAGTCTTTTTGTATTAACTATTAAGTGGGTCGACAGTTTTTTTTTTTTATATATAAGCTTGGGCATGGTTTCTGGTGAAGTTAGTTGGTTTCTCTTTGCACAGACGACCTAAATTGTTTATGGGAAAATTTCGTCATAGTTCTATGAAGTTTGCTTCTACCCTTGCCTGATTTCCCCCTGCACTTTACCAAATTGATCTGGAGGTTTATGCCTAATTTTGTCATTGTCCCACAAAAAAAAAATGGCCACAGTGCATAGCTCCTTGCATATTTTGGGTGATTATATGTCTGGTGCGGTATAGAAGCTTATTCTGCTACATGCTAATAACTATGATGATCATAAACTAAATTGTCCATTGATTAGTTACTCATTTAGAATCGAAATGATTCTCTCTTTGTTTTGCTCGGTATCTTATGTATAGTATTTTGTTGCTTTGTTGTTGATTGGAAGTTATAGATCCACAAAATGTCAGTTGTCAAGAATGGTCCATTAGGTCAGGCGGAGACAACTTGTGGATCCCTTCTAAACGAGTTGCAGGTTTGTAAACCTTCATGATTGAATCAGTGGCCTTCTGTTCAATTTGTTGCTCTATTTATAGTATGGATACTCAAGGAATCTGTTGCTTTCCTCATTAATGCCGACTATTAGATAATCTGGGATGAAGTTGGTGAGTCTGATACCGATCGTGATAAGATGCTATATGAACTTGAACAAGAATGTCTCGAAGTATACAGAAGAAAGGTGGATCAGGCAAACCGGAATAGAGCTCAGCTTAGACAGGCAATTGCTGACTCTGAAGCTGAGCTTGCCGCAATATGTTCTGCAATGGGAGAGCGACCGGTACACATTAGACAGGTTAGAACGAAGCAACTGTGGATTCTATCTCAATCTTGGCTGTATTTTTCTTTCTTCTATTTTTTGAACACGCTCTTCATATGCAAACTATTTTCTCGAGTATTATAGCAATGCAATTTTACATTGTTGTTACATATTGTTGAGGTTAACTGTCCTTTTGTTAAGTGACTTCACAGTCTTCACACTTCTCTTTTCTTGCTTTAATCATTGTTCTTATTCCTGTACACAATGAATAGTTGAAATCAAGATATTAAAGTGCATTTATTTATTCTTCATTTGTAATGATTGCAGGCTGATCAAAGCACTGGAAGCCTGAAGGCAGAACTTGAAACGATTCTCCCACAACTTGAGGAGATGCGCAAACGGAAGGTTGACAGAAGAAATCAGTTTCTTCAAGTTCTTGAAGAGATCCAGCAGATTTCAAATGAAATAAATGAAATAGCTGGTGGCGTTCTGTAAATGAAAGTGACCTGTCTTTGAGGAAGCTGGAAGAGTTGCATAGAAAGCTCCATGACTTCAAACTGAGAAGGTTGGAAGAGGAGCTTCCGTGTATTATAAAGTTCTTATATGCAATGTTATCCGGTTACTGATTCACCTTTCCCTTTGCAGAATGATCGGCTGAAGCAGGTTCAGGAGGCTTTAGATACCATAAGCTCATTTTGTGTGGTGCTTGGTATGGAGCTCAAGCAAACAATTGCTGAGATTCATCCAGAATTTGACTGTGCTGACGTGTCAAAGAGAATAAGTAATGAATCCATCAAATCTTTAGCTACTGCAATTCAAAGATTGCGAGAGTTGAAATTACAAAGAATGCAAAAGGTAATGTCACTGAGGTCTGTTTTGTATACTTCCGCCAAATGATGAACTGTGTTAGATAAAACTATATTATTTATTTTGGCAGCTACAAGATCTTGCAACTGCTATGTTGGAGCTTTGGAACTTGATGGATACCCCTATTGAAGAGCAGCAAGCATTCCAGAATGTTACATGCAATATAGCTGCTGCGGAACATGAGATAACTGAACCAAATACCCTTTCCATGGACTTCCTCAATTTTGTGAGTCTTAGAATTTACCTTTTCTGGTCTATTTTGGTTTTCTATGGTCATTTGATATTCTTGATATTTGAACACGCTCACACATGTAGGTTGCAGCAGAAGTCTCCCGGTTGGAAGAGTTGAAAGTTAGTAAGATGAGGGAGCTGGTTCTGAAAAAGAGGGCAGAGCTGGATGAAGTCTGTAAGAAGACCCATATGGTCCCCGAAGCAAATGTAGCGATAGATTGTGCCATCGAAGCCATAGAGTCTGGTACCAGCTTGCTCCCACGTAGAGTCTCAAATACATATTATGTATTATTATTAAACTAAATGTTTGAAACATATTCAATATTCAGGACAAGTAGACCCTGGAAGTCTCTTGGAGCAGATTGAATTTCAAGTTGCTAATGTGAAGGAAGAAGCTTTTAGCAGGAAGGAAATTCTTGACAAGGTTGAGAAATGGAAAGCTGCGTGTGAGGAGGAATCCTGGCTTGAGGAATATAATAGGGTAAGTGTCAAATTGGCTCCTTTTTTTATTTTATTTGTCTTCCCTGGTTGCTCGCTTACATCAGTTTATGTTGTACAGGATGATAATAGATACAATGCTGGAAGAGGCACTCATTTGATTCTCAAGCGTGCTGAGAAAGCTCGTGCTTTAGTCACCAAAATTCCAGGTAAACAATTTTGTCAGAGCTCCTAATGTTATACCAATGCAGAACTAAGTCGTGTTGCAACACTTTTGTTAGAGTTCTTGTTGACCGTACAGTGGCAGGCAGCTACAGTTAGATATCTTCCTTCCCATTTTGTGACTTCTCTGTGCATTCTCCAGGCATGTTGGAGGGTTTGGCTTCTAAAACAATGGCATGGGAAAAGGAGAGGGGCATAGAATTCTTATATGATGGTGTAAGTTCCATGTTCCTTTATGTTCTGTATATACAAGTTAATATCTCAAATGTAATTAATTCTACCGCCTCCTTTGAGGTGCCGATGTTGATTGCTTGTGGTTAATCATTACTAATCTGTTTTCTAAATTTTTTTTATTCAGATTCGCCTTCTTTCCATGCTTGAAGAGTATAGCATTCTAAAACAAGAGAAAGAGGAAGAAAAGCGTAGGCAGCGGGTATGAATCTGACTGCTTATCCCATGGAATTCTTTGCAAAAGTGTCGTCCTGAATATTGTGTATAGTGAGGCTGTGTTTTTTCAACTATCTCTGCCGTTTTATGCGTATCACTTTGAAATATTGCATTTCTTTAGGATCAAAAGAAGCTGCAGGGACAACTAATAGCAGAACAAGAGGCTCTCTATGGATCAAAACCAAGTCCGTCCAAGAACCTTAGTTTCAAAAAGGGATCTAGAGTTTCAACCGGAGGTGCAACCAATAGAAGACTGTCCGTCGGAGGAGCGATGCCACAAACTCCAAAACTCGACAAGATCCTCTCTAGCAGAACATTGTCTTGCCGGTCTGCCAAGAAGATCAACAACCACAATGACTCACTAAGTCAGTATCAGGATGATACGTTCTCTACCTTATCTGCTGGTTAGTAGTCTTGGAAAAGTTATACTTGGTGAAAGAGTTTGATAGCTCGGATTTTATTCATTGAACATGTTTTTATTTTTCCTTCCCCCTTGCTGAAGATGATATTAGTGAAACCGACTACTAACGGCTCACCAATCTTCATCGGGTTCAGCATAAATATTCAACTGGGTTCTTCATTCGCAGTTTTCTCGGTATTGAAGTAGGTCCTCTCCTTGTAAAACTTTATTTTGTTCAAATGGCTTGTTCTTTGCAAATCAACATTTTGAAAGCCGTAAGTCTAAACAATAGTGATGTGATGGTAAGAGTTAATTTACTAAGTTAGGCATGCATTGTTGATTGTTTTATTTGTTTTACCTTGTAGACCATATCAGTTAAGATTAGTTTTGCTTCAAAATGTTCTTTGCAGGTAGGAGAGGTCTGGATATAGCTGGTCTGCCCATGAAAGCTCAGTCATTTGGCACCGCAAACGGCCGAGAACCAGATTCTGCAATGCTGCTGCGGAAGCCATTCTCGCCCATCTCTTCCACAACATCATCCAAAGCTAATTATGTAGAAGAGCCAGTCAGAGTAGCCCACGGGGAAAGTGCATTCAAGAAGAATGACCAGTTGTTCATGACTCCTCCAAAGACCACTGCCACCACCGCTGCTTACCTTGCTGAGGAAGAAAACAGAACTCCTAGGCTACTGCCAGTGTCTGCCATGACACCCTCCACAGTGTCAGTACCGATGCAGACAGCCATGACTCCAGCAGCTCCAGTTCATTTTGGTGGTTTCAAGTCAGCGGGTGAAGAGGCGGTTGCTGAAGAAATTGAGTACTCATTTGAAGAGAGAAGAGCTGGGTTTGCTCTTCCTCACACTGCACACGTGAAGTCACTGATTCAAGTTTGATGTAAGATAAGTTTTCTCCTTTATTAGGTCATTCATTTTAGGTGGGCTTTTGAGGTAGTGAAGGCTTCTTTTGGCTTTCATAGCCTTGCTTGGAGTGCAAGTGAAGATTGTAATTGGTTTCTGGATAGTGTATATTAGTCCATGACAACTGTGGACGAGGACCAGACTCTGTGGGCTGTGGAAATGCGAGTTTACTTCAATGCTTGTTGAATCTGTTGTTTCAAGTAGAGAATTAAGAGATGCAGTTTCTTGGGTTTATGGATTTTGAATTTCTGCAGAAATTATATCTTTTTAGCAGCTAACTTGAGCTGGAAGTCACAGATTCTAAAGATAAAGGTTGCAGGGATTGATTGTATGTTCCTGTCCAGAATCAAACTGAATTAACATAGGATCAAATAAGAATCCATTTCAATACAATCTATTTTTTTCTTTCTATTTGAAGAAGAGAAATGTCATGGAAAAATGAGAAAAAGTTTTTGCATTTTAGAGTCAGAACTAAACCGAAACACAGTTCATCGTGTCTGATACAATTCCAATAGTACTGATTTGATTGTCTTCAATCTGATATGAACCAAACCGTTGCCCACCCACCGTTACTTACAGCATTCCTTTCATGGCCCAAACAAATTTAAGACATGGCTTCGACCACAGCCAAACGGAATTCAACAAGCAAAAACCAAATGGTAATTTACCCATCAGTTCCTCGAAGAACTTGATTCTGCAACATCCACATCTTCAATCACCAGCCTTTCACCAATCTCATATTCTTCTTCTTCAACCATCGTCTTCCCTTTATCATCCCCACCACCACCAACCCCTCTACTCAGCCTCTCCACCCACACTCCATACTCGACTGGATAATTCGTTCCCGCCACACCATCTACATAGTCAGCAAACGCCTTGAGTATCGGCGACACTTCTCCCAGCTGCTGCTGAATCAATCTCTTCCCCCAGCTTCTTTCCCTCCACGCTAATGCCGACTCGATCGAGTCATGCTGCTGCTGATGCATAATGCTGCTGCCAGTGATGAACAACAGCAAATAGATGAGGCTCTCAGCATCTGAGGATGGACAGAGCTTCCCGTGCTGAAGTGCATAGGATGAAGAGAACTGTAAGTTGATGGCCGCGCTGTCTCGTTCTTCCAGAACTGCACGACCCCATGAGGTTAAGACGTAGGAAGAGGACGTCGTTGTTGTGGAATGAGGAAGGATGCGGCGGACTATGTTCTCCGGGCATATGTCTGCATGCTGGACGTTGGCAGCTGCAGCACTCTTCAACCCTGCAAACCAGGAGAAAAAAAACTGTTTTAAGGATATTGAAACAAAACGATTATGGTTTGCCAGTTCGGTTTCTTGCCAAGCCAAAAAAACTAAACCAGTTAGCCACCCCTTACCTGCAAGGCAATCTCTGCAGCATCGAATCGCCTCCGTAGATGACAATGGCCCATCCCGGGCTACAATGAAGGATAGAGGCTGCCCTACAGGACATGTCACGAGTATAGGGGTCCCGCAGAAGGGATCGTTGCACCTTCCACTGGGGCTCTGTCTAGTGCATTGTCCTGAATGGAAGAGTCTTCCGCAAGCAACCATTTCCGGAAGGCATTTGCTCGAAGAAGAAGATCCCTTCAGAATGTTCAACACTTTGGTTTGTCTCTGGACTTGATACCACAAGCTCATGTCTTCCCACGAGGGCTCGAGTCTCGAGGTGTGGGCCCCAACAGATAGAGCCAACAGCTGAGATGGACAAGCCAGGTCGATAGCACTGGAGAGAAAGGAATTCCCTCCAACAGAACATTCCTGGATTTGGAAGCTCTTCCTTCTTCCATCGAGCTGGTCATCTATCGTCAGCAGTGTTCCGGGTTGAAGCTTCAATCTCGAAGCTTGTTTCTTATTAGGTTCCTGAAGATGATTTCTTGCCTCTATGATCTCTCCTTCATGTGGAGTGCTCCCATTTCTGATGATGCGGCGCTCCATCCTTCGATTCTGAAGCCGAAGCCCATGTTGAGAGGCTAGCGTAGCAATGGACTTCTTTGGCGAGCCATTCATTTCCACCATGGAGTAAAAAGTCGCCAGCATTACTTGCAGAGTACCTATGTCCCCCCAGTTTGCATTGCCTAGCTTGTTCCACACCTGGTCAACTGGAGAGACTCTGACCTCAGCATGACGTTTGATCCAGTCTATGACACATTCATAAGGATCACTGATAGAGTTCAGCTCGAGCTTCCAAATATCACCTTCTATCTTCACCACGCCACCAAATGTCGAGTCACAAACCAAAACGAAAACCGAATTCCTGCCAGCTGTACAGAGAATATGAACACCAAAGAAGAGGGCTTCGCATATGATTCGGGTGGATAGTTTGAGCTCATTTTCAGACAGAATGTTCGGTCTAACCAACGCAAACTGAACCACTCGGTCCCACTGATGACGAGTCTCGACGTTTGAAACTATAGCTAAGCCCTGAACCTCTTGGAGTCTTCCTCTTGAAGCTACTTTCTCTAACGTATAGAACTTTGATCCGATCCTGCGTGGACAAGCTAGACTAAATGGAAGCGGTTTACTACTTCTGTGCCAAAATGTGCGCCACAAGCCATTCATTACAGCATGGAGAAAGTCCTCCATTGCTAAGTACTGCCCTTCTGTGGTGCCTGATGGATATGAAGAAGAACTTGGCATCCGGCATAGCTGCTGAAAGGGGACTCCTTCCAATGCTAAATCGAGGTTCAGTACTTCGTCGATTGAGAAGGGAGAGCTGAAAGACTCGTCATTTTCAGAGACCCAATTCTCGAACCTGTGTGTGAATAAGTCAAGGCTGGTAAGGCTTCTAGCCCAATCCTTCAGTGACTTGGAATGTCTTCTGGAAGTAGAGACTTGTTTGGTTGCAGTAGAAAGATCCGATAAACTTCTTCCAGACATAACTGCAGGAAATGGAGTATGAAAGTGAAATGAAAGTAAAATGAAGAAGTGATGAAAGGAGTTAAGTATGATGAGGAATTGTAGTCACAAACCAGATCCAGGCATCCTGAAACTTCCATCCAAACTGGGCGAGGAGTGCAAGTCATATTGTGAAAGACCTAAGATAGTGATAAGTAGATATAAGATATGCTAGAACTAGTGTGGAGCTCAATACTAAACTGATGAATCAAGCATCTTCAGTATTGTGTAAAGACTATGGAGTAGAGATGTGAAGTGCTTGTCTACAGAATTATTCTCCTCTGGCATTCATAATCTCTAGTGATACATACATAAGCAACGCTCAAATGTCAGATAATCCAAGAGCAAACCTGATCTGGTCATTCTAAAACTTCCATTCAAGCTTTGGCTTGGTGAAACTCCTGCATCATTTTCTTCAAAGCCTGCATCAACACCATTCATTAGTTCATAAACTTATGCTCTTAGGAAAGTTTGGAAATCCTGGCAAAGGAAAGAACTTGAGCAAATTCACTTAGAAACGGCAAGGCCAAATGGCCCTGAATCTTCCATGATATTCGAAGTTCCTGACTTGTACTTTATCCTGAAACTTCACCACTTCACATTTTCTTAGTGACCAACCAAAATGTAACTATAAGGAAGTAATGCAAGTCCCCTATCCCCAATCATCTTTGAACCCAAATGCACCAACTGAATACTCTCAACTCGCCAGCATCAAACCTTAAAACTAAGTAACCAGCAAACTCTTGCATCCTCCCAACTTCCATATCCAGCCTTCTCTTACTAACCATAGTCAAAATCTACAGATTGAAGTGTGACCCATCTAAGAATTTCAACTGGCAAAGCAATCAATGTACAAAAGCTAGGACACAAGGCTACATAGACATAGGCAATCTAACATCACTAGATGCCTGCCTTACAATAATCTTACTTCACATTCAACTTTCTGGGTATTGCTTAAAAGACCACATTTTTATCAACATCCATAACCTCGACATTACCAAGGATAGCCATTTCAAAGTCTGCAAAAACGAAGTAAGACAGGAGAAATCTATCTCACTTACCCATTAGTTTAAATGGCGACGAGATGGGATCCTGATAGAAGAGCAAGCAAGACGTTTTAAGAGCCCAAAAATGGGTTTGGGAAATCCAGACTTCACCGCGGCATGCTCAGATTCAAAACAATATGGCAATGGCGGCATGTTTGTCTGCGGAAGAGAGACATTTTCATTGGGCGTTGGGAAGAAAGCGCCAAGGGTGAAAAGGAGTTGCAGAAGAATGAGAAGAAGAAGAAGAAGAAGACGACGACGAAGGAAATGGGCTTTGTATAAAGCGATTCGTTAATTAACTTCTCACTCCCAGTCCTCTTCAAGATTAAGCCTTTTCGAAATTATGGCAGAAATAATGAAGGGGGAGGGAATGATTGTATTTATTTTTTATCGGAAAAGGAGAAAAAAAAAAACACCGGGAAGATTGAAATTTACTCAACTTTTTTTCTTTTTTTTTTGACAAAGAAATTTACTCAACTTGAAGACCTCCATTTGACCATTTTGTGTCAGCTTACAGGTCTCACTCTCAGACCTTTTCCACCTTTTGCATGTTTTGTCTCCTGCATCTTGTACTCATGCTAAGAGTCAATGATGATAGTTAGTGACAAGAGGTAGTTGGATCTTGGATTATAGTTTGAGGGATGGATGAAATGTAAGTTAAATCGATCATTTGATAGGTCATTATAGATACGAAAGCTCATGTAGTCTGTTCAGTGGTGGAGTTACATAAAATACGGTTGTAGTCGCTATAAATATTTAATTTTAGTTTGTAATACGCGGATAGACAACACAATACACATTGAATTATCAAGGACACAAGGCTACATTGACATTGGTTTTTCTTTCAATTCTAGCCTCTCTCACTCTAAATCTTTCTTTTCTCACTGATACTATTATTTAGCCATGTTTTTATCATGCAAGTTTCATATTATATATGAAAGGAAGTTAATTTGTGACTTTTTTTTTTACCAATGTTATTAGGTGATTTAGATTATTACAAATGTTAATATGTTATTTTGGATGATAAAGGTAATTGAATTTGAGTTGGCAAAATATGATAAAAAAAAAAGAACAAGACTAGACTAATAACTAATAAGGCCCACCACCACCCGGCCCCAACCCACCGGGCCACCATTAAATCAAAGTCCAGAACAAACAGTGATGTTTTCCCTTCTATGATTGGTTCTTTTCCTTGTGCACACAAAAAGTTAACAAGGCAAGGATTCATTTTTTTATTAGTGTTCAATTTTATGTTGCCTTTTTCATTTTCAGTCCTCATTTTTTAAAAGGCTTAATTGCAAGGTTGGTCACTCGAATTGCTACAAAATTTCACGTTTGTCACTCAAATTAATTTATTCCATTTATAGTCACTTAAATTAGGTTAACAGTCCAAGTTTGATCACTGGCCGTTAGTCTCCGTTAACTTTTGCTGATGTGGCGGTCAACTCTTATAGTTGATCGTTAAATGAGTGACGTGGCGATTAAAAAATAATATAATAATTTAATTTAATTATTTTTTATTTTCCACCTAATTATTATAAAAATAAAAATAAAAACCTAATTCCTTTTAATTGTTATTTTCAGGGCCGGCCTAGAGGGTGTGCTGGCCCGCCCTCCGGCACAGGGCCTCCGAATATTAGGGGCCTCCACTTAGATCCGTTAGTTATCGATCGTACATTGTAGATTGTATTTTTAGTATATGATTGATTGATTATGAGTATGATGACGATTTTAATAGATAATTTTAGCTATAATAACAATTAAAAATGATATCATGAAGACTACGAAAATAAGAAAGATAATAGATAATTTTATGGGTAACGTCTATTTTTTATCCAGACCTTTTCAGATTCTTTTATAATATCCAAACCTATCGAAATATTAAAAATTAGCCGAATGTTAACTTTCGGTTAGCATTTTTGTTAGTAATATTGTCTTGACAACATGATACTGACTTGGAAGAGACACATGAAGGTCAAGATTCCAAAATTTTAGTATTTTAACTAAGAAAAGAGTTACAGAATTATTAACAATAACGTAAAAATGACTAATATTTTGGTGCATTATGAAAGATTTGGCTAATTAATAAATTTTTAATAGGTTTGGATAATATAAAAGAATCTGAAAAAATGTTTAGATAAAAAATAGACATTACCCTAATTTATTTTAAACTATGTAGAAAGATATTACAGTCATTTTAGTTTTATTATAATTAAAAGTCAATTTAGACCACGTCTCAATTTTGGAACAAGGCCCCCATGAAGCATTAGACAACCCTGGGAATTTGGTTTTGGTTTCTTCGTCAAACTAGAAACGTGATCATTTATTTCTTTTGTAATAATTTTCTGAGACTATGTATTTTTTTATAATTATTTAATAATTTTTATTTTTAATAAATTTGTGGAGAAAAATTTTAGGGCCACATTTTAAATTTTGGAACAGGGCCTCCGAATATCATGGGACGGCCCTGGTTATTTTCCACCGCTGATGAGCTGCGTCGTCTTCGGCTCCTTCGTCGTCTGGTACCTCGCGGCGTTCTCGATCTCCTGCTTCAAGGCGCTGACCCTGGTCATCAATAAAGGGCTGAGCCGCTCCGGTAACTAACCCCACTCCCTGGTCGCGAACGTTGTCTGGGAGGTAGCTTAGTATGTCTTCTTCATAATCGGAGCACTCCATCTGTGATTTTAGAGTGCTGTTCGTGATCAGAAATAAACTCTGCAATTTGGGGAAAGGGAACTCTGCCACAAAGGAAAGTTGCAGAGAGCTTTTATTTTCATTTCAAATTTCGGCTGTTACGTGATTAATTAGTGGGGGGATTAGTGCGGGGAGTGGGGTTAGTTACCGGAGCGGCTCAGCCCTTTATTGATGACCAGGGTCAGCGCCTTGAAGCAGGAGATCGAGAACGCCGCGAGGTACCAGACGACGAAGGAGCCGAAGACGACGCAGCTCATCAGCGGTGGAAAATAACCAGGGCCGTCCCATGATATTCGGAGGCCCTGTTCCAAAATTTAAAATGTGGCCCTAAAATTTTTCTCCACAAATTTATTAAAAATAAAAATTATTAAATAATTATAAAAAAATACATAGTCTCAGAAAATTATTACAAAAGAAATAAATGATCACGTTTCTAGTTTGACGAAGAAACCAAAACCAAATTCCCAGGGTTGTCTAATGCTTCATGGGGGCCTTGTTCCAAAATTGAGACGTGGTCTAAATTGACTTTTAATTATAATAAAACTAAAATGACTGTAATATCTTTCTACATAGTTTAAAATAAATTAGGGTAATGTCTATTTTTTATCTAAACATTTTTTCAGATTCTTTTATATTATCCAAACCTATTAAAAATTTATTAATTAGCCAAATCTTTCATAATGCACCAAAATATTAGTCATTTTTACGTTATTGTTAATAATTCTGTAACTCTTTTCTTAGTTAAAATACTAAAATTTTGGAATCTTGACCTTCATGTGTCTCTTCCAAGTCAGTATCATGTTGTCAAGACAATATTACTAACAAAAATGCTAACCGAAAGTTAACATTCGGCTAATTTTTAATATTTCGATAGGTTTGGATATTATAAAAGAATCTGAAAAGGTCTGGATAAAAAATAGACGTTACCCATAAAATTATCTATTATCTTTCTTATTTTCGTAGTCTTCATGATATCATTTTTAATTGTTATTATAGCTAAAATTATCTATTAAAATCGTCATCATACTCATAATCAATCAATCATATACTAAAAATACAATCTACAATGTACGATCGATAACTAACGGATCTAAGTGGAGGCCCCTAATATTCGGAGGCCCTGTGCCGGAGGGCGGGCCAGCACACCCTCTAGGCCGGCCCTGAAAATAACAATTAAAAGGAATTAGGTTTTTATTTTTATTTTTATAATAATTAGGTGGAAAATAAAAAAATAATTAAATTAAATTATTTTATTATTTTTTAATCGCCACGTCACTCATTTAACGGTCAACTATAAGAGTTGACCGCCACATCAGCAAAAATTAACGGAGACTAACGACCAGTGACCAAACTTGGACTCTTAACCTAATTTAAGTGACTATAAATGGAATAAATTAATTTGAGTGACAAACGTGAAATTTTGTAGCAATTCGAGTGACCAAACGTGAAATTTTGTAGCAATTCGAGTGACCAAACTTGCAATTAAGCCTTTTTTAAAATCTCAATGCATTGATGCTGCCCCAGTACCATGCCTGCCTGACACTGACAGCTCTGTTTTGGAAGTTGGTGCCAATTTTTGTAAGACACGTAAATTCGTATACTACCAAATACCAATGGTCAATACTCAATAGACCTGGACAGTAATGAATTTGGGCCATTCGGGAAGCCCAGTAGGCCTGAATGGATCGATAAAAAGCTCAATACAAAGTGGGCCTCTTGACCCGTTTGAAAGGAGAAGGGAAATAGGAAAGCGGGACTCGGTCCGAGACCAGGCGATCGTCCGTCAGCTCAGGCAGGCCTAGCTGATTTTCAGTTCAGTTTGAAGAATTCGTCCCGTCCGGTCAAGTCGGAAACTTCTCGTCAAAGAAGAGAACAATGGATAAGAAGAAAGCATTTTACAGAGCTAAGTTGAATGCTCAGAAGAAGGACAAACGAATCGATTCTCCTCTTGTCAGGTAAGAACCCTCGCCCATCCTACTCTCCCGAAAATCTATTCAGCTTTCGCTCTCGGGGGAAATCGGATACCCTAATAGTGGTTGCTTGCTGCTATGGAGTGCCGGCGAAGATTATGAGTTGCTGCTAGTTTTCGAGTAGTTTATCGTAAATTGGAAAAATTATGTGCCCTGAATGGTTGAATTACCTGTTTAGCTGTTTGTTTTGGATCGCGGCCAATGCTCCACTAGTGAATTTGATGCTTTGGCGATCCTTCTTTTTTTTTTTTTTTCTTCTTCTTCTTTTCCTCTAACTCGAAATTTCATAAGAGAAGAAAAAAGAAGGGGTGAGTACAGTTTACAGTGTTGCTTGTGCTCGTCCTATTGGTTTCGTTGCGCAACCTGGTGCTTGCTTATAGCTTTGTTCGTTTGCTCGCTTGTGCAGGTATAATGAATCCGATCAACCAGTTTGTAGGGTTTGCAATCTTGTTTTGAAGGAGTCTCAATGGGATGCACATCAAGCTTCTCGAAAACATCGTGAGGTCATATCTCAGTTTCCCCTTTGATACTGCATTTTATTCTGCTGGTGTATGGTTTTGGTTTACTGTGATTAGGATTGTAAAGAAAGTTTTGGTGGCTTTGATCTATAGGCATCAGCATGAAATGATTGCCAACCTAAGGATCATCAGAGCATAATATGCTAATTGTCTC